CTGGACCGCCGAATATGCCCAGCTTGATAAGACATTCAGTCACTTTCTCCTATGGGGTCTTCTTTTCTTCCAATTCTCAACTCAATTTGCGTAGTTTTCCGCTTTTGGGGAGATGATATACGGGGTCTAGCGACTGTAACGGACTCGTTTTGTGCTTGCCTCGCCGATGTGTGGCATCGCCAGAGCCCAGGACCTCTCACATGAGCCAAGGAAAGATGGGCCGCAAGCAGGTAGCCGGTAACCATACACTGTGACTTTCAGTTATCTCGGGCAAGTTTTCCTACTCTGTTACCATTTTCCAAAAGTTGCTGTATAGTTGCCCCCCCCCCCCCCCCTTTCAGCCAGATCGGCCAACACAAGATACCACAAAAATCAGTAGCATCAACCAACTACATAGTACCGTGATAGGGTCACTTTCCGCCTAGAGTACGCGCCCATGCGGGGATTGAAAGAAAGTCTGGACAACCGACAGTTTGCTCTCTGGTCATTTTCGGAGGCTTCCGAGATGGTATAAAACGGCAATGAGGCTGCAATGTAGCTATGCTTTTAGTGACAGCCCATCCCTATCTAACCTCTTCTTTCTGACTCGACAGAAAATCGTAGGAGTATCTCAAAGGGCTCCTGGTCCCAGGTGGAGAAAGGGCGACGATCTTGGTGATCAGATCCGTCTGGATGTCAAGATGGACTATGTATATAGCAATGATGAGACAACCTGGAGCCCATCCTATGTAGTGCTAAGGCTTGATGCAGTACGGGACAGTTCTTTTGGCAGCTATAATGTTTTGAGCTTGTAGATATTGTAGTCTTCGTATCATCAAACGGACGGAAGGTGGTTACTTGCTGATGCTCCGTAGCAGCCAATTCCCAGGAGGGGATATATAGCCTTCATATTAGCAATGGAATGAGATCCTCTCGATTCACCCGTTGAAAGTTGCAGTCCAGCAAAATAAAGAGAAGAGGGGAAAAAGCAGAGAAGTGTCAAAACAAGGAACTGTCTATCTCTGCCCATCTTTTCATACTGATCTATGTGAAGAAGATATCTGTTGTGAGACGGTAAAATGGTAAGATGGAAATATCCCCAAAGCCAACACAGCTATGTACATACAAGTGTATGTACCTACAGCTAAACTGCCTTCGCTGCTAACTGGAAGTTACCGACACCTACACCCCTAAATACAGTCCGAACATCATCTCGCACGGTATGTTATAGCTGCCTGACTACTCAGCTCCCACAGCTCCCGGTGGACGTCAGCGCACGTGACTTGGAAGCTCAGAGGGCCGCATACTGTATATAGCTCAATCATAACACTGTGACACCAACAAACACCGGCCCCGTCCTTGCGCCTAGGACTCGCATTCAACCGCGCCATCATTCAATCGCATTCGCATTCACGTTTGTCGCGACTTGACACCATCACCAGGCTGAACTATAAACTCGACCACACATCATTGAATTGTTGATATAGTGTTTAATACGACACAAGGCACACCTACCTTCAGCTAACCCCTTCGAAAATTCCATGCCTATGTAATTGGATTGGATCTGAGGCTACATTGTTTGGTTAGACGCGCAACAACCTGAACTTGACCTCATCCATCGCTCGTCGCCCATCGCCCGTCGCCTATCGCCCATCGTTCGTCATCCACCATCTGCCGCGTCCCTAGACTTGCGCTTCAGATTGCCACCTAGAGACAGCCAACCTTCCCAGTGCCCCGATTTATCTATCATCGCTATAGGTGCTTTCGCTTGATGATATACAGGTGGCCAGCACCTCGCAGCTCTTCTCATAATGGTTCCGCCTGTATGGAGACCTTTTCGCATACTTGTTTGTTTGCTTACGCATAGCGCGAAACAACTAACGAACCCCCCCTTGTAGTTACGAGCCACTACTACCCAGACTCGGCGTGGAAATAGAAGTGGATATGTCGAACATGATGACTTTGAAGGTATGCGATTCTTGCGCGCAGACCAGAAGAAAGTCGATTGGGCTCTGGCTCTGTCTCTGATTCTGTCTCTGCCTCTACCTTAGTCCGAGCTCTGACTTATACACACCTTAGGTCTGCCCGTGAGACAATGGCGACAAGAGTGGGTGAATATTGTACCACCTCCACCCCCCGACACCACCCAGAAGAACGACATTTGGGACCTCGAGTTACCGCACGGCATGCCCAAAGATGCCAACTTACTACCTTCGCATACACAAGACCTGCTGAGGGCTGCTCGCTCCGGTAGACTTTACAAGCGGCCGCCGCCCACCGAGGAAGAAGAAGGCGATGCCGATGCTGCCCTGCCCGAGAAGCCAGAGAAAAAAGAAGAAGACTCGAGCACGAAGGGCTTCCAGGTGAAAGTGTGGAAACAGATTCCTCGCAATGCCGAGGGCCCAACTGTTTCACACCTGGCCAAAAGGAGGAAGGGCACTGTCACGCTTGCTTCCCATTTCCCAGATGGCACCGCAGCTGTTCATAGCATCACCAAAGCTACTGTCCGTCGTGTGGATGCTGATGGCAACGCTCATCTGCAAGAGATTACCTTGCAGGAGGGACAGGCTGTAGACGGGGAGATTATCTCAACTACTGTCGTTCCAGTGAACAATTCCGCCCCGAGTGTGGAAACAAGCGTTGCTGCTACTCCTGTCCGGAGACGGCCGCCGCCTCCTAAGAGGAAGGCCAAGGGCCCCGGCAGAGGCCGTAGGAAGAAGCTGCCTCTGCCACTCCATGCGCAACCCAAGGTGACAGCCCCTGTAGTAAATAGCAACGCGAATGAACCAAAACCAGAGGACGTCCGGATAGCTGTGAGTACTATCCGTTTGTGCCACTCTCAATTGCTTACTAATACAATACAGGAAATCAAACAAGAGGGCGGTAATGATGAGACGAAAACTCAGGATAGTGAAATGGCTGATGATGATGATGGTGATGAGGGAGAGGATGACGGTGACGATGGTGACGAGGGTGATGAAGGTGATGACGACGATGGCGATGCTCGTGATGGAGAGAATTCGGAGAACAGACAGGCACCAATAGCTGAAAGCGAAGCTGTCAAGCCCGATCATCCAATGGACGCAACTCTCGCCACTGGTCAACCAGGACTTCCTGTCTCGGATGCCAGCTCGGCGGGAATTCCAACCATTGAAACATCCACGATTCCAAAACGTCCGTCGCCATTATCGAATACGGCACTTCCTCCTGATCAGGTCACACTACTTCCACCACACCCTCAAACCTCCGAAGGAAGCCCCCCGAAAAGTTTTACTGAAACTCAGTCGCCAAGTGCGCCATCTCCTCAGCCAGTTTCTACGAGTACAGAAGCTGCTCCTTTACCTCCAGTGTCGGAGGTAGCAGAGGCGACCGCCCCAGCTGCTTCGGTAGAGCCGATAGCAGAGCAAGCAACAATTGCTGAGGCGCAACCAGCTGCTGATGTTGAGATGACGGATTTCACCAACGACATAGTCGCAGATGAACCTACGCAGACAGATGTGGAAACTGCAGAACTTCTACAGGATCCAGTGCCCACGGGTGATACCCAAGGTGATATCCAAGATTTAAACCAACTGTCAGTTCCCAACGACACTTCGCTTATGCAGCTTACGGAACTCACAAACGAGGGCAACGGAGACGGATCACAACTCAATGATCTTGTCACACAGCCCGCAAACGGGGCGGAGGCCGAGGCCGTTGAGCAAGGCGCTACTACTGACCTCAGTACTGCGCCGGTTGAGTCCGTTGCCGATCCAGTACCTGCGCCAGTACCTAGTGTGGAGCCAAACGCGACCAACCCGTCACTAGACCTGGCCTCTCAGCCCATCGAGGATATTGGCTCTGTCGAACCTGAATATGAACCCGAATATGAACCTCCAGCACCAGTGCCGGCTCCTGCATCCATCGATACCCAACTACCCCCACCAGAATCTCGACAAGCAGCAGAAGACCCTGAGCCGGAGAGCCCTGATCTATTCAGTGGACTAGAAGCCGCGTTGAACCAGCAAGGCGACGAACCGAAAGAGTCGCTACCTAATGATGTCTCAGCTACCCCCGTTGCGAATGAGGTTGCGAGCGCTCCAGCTCCTACCGCCGAGGCCCCCTCGCAACCTGAGGGACAGCAGGCGGAAGAGCAGTCCAAGGATGTCTAAAGGTAGATTAAGACTTGGAACTTCCGGTCCTCTTCGATGGACCGGGAGAGTGACGTATGGTGTATTATAAAGAACCCCCGCATATGGGCATGTGTAATTCGAGTCGGGTGGTCACTGAACAGCTTGGGTTAATTGAATCACGGACCGATCTAGCCATAGCACGCAATGCAACGCAACGTGTATTTTGACTGAGTAAAACGTGGCATTGAAGCGAGTGAACCAATATACACCAATTATCACGATTACCTGAACTGCCTATCCCTAATGTCGGGACTCGATCGCTGTGATCTATACTGATATAGTACGCCTCCCCGAGTGCGTAGCTTGCATGGTGCCATTCCTTAGCTTATGTTGACTTCTGGATACAGCGTCGTCTGATTCCGTCGGTTCATGATAGTTTGAAGTACTATGTAGGCATCGATATGGCGAAGACTACTCTACACGGCCGATCGTATGCTCTCGACATCTACATAGTAAGGATGTAAGAGATGATCAACGCCGGTGAAGTACCGAAAGCCCCCGCAGAATTGCAGTTAACTTGATCATTAGGAGTCGCCTGTTGAAACAGGGATATGCCTATACTCCATCGTAGATGAGCAAGGTGTTAGTAACTCGTGATTTCAACTCAATTGCCAGTATAGCGTTACCGTGGTACAGCATCCTCCCGCGTTCTTTGCCAGCCGTAGGTTAGGATTGTCGGTAGTTGTTAATCCCTATTGCAGATTATATAAAAATATATCGGGTTTCCTCTGTTGAATGCAGATGCAATGTCATGTATGACTTACAAAAGGGTTAAATAAAGTGTAAAGTAAAAGAGGAAAGAGAAGGATAAAAACATATCAGACGCAAAAAACAAACGCTCGCAGATTGCGACACCTGTGTGATTCGAACACACGCCCCCGAAGGGAATGCCTTCCTACTAATGCAGTAGCATCTATAGCAGGGCATCGCGTTAACCACTCCGCCAAAGTGCCTTTCGACTTTTTCCGAATGTTTCCATTCGGGTTTGGCCGGTTGAAATATTGGCCGCTTGTTTTGTCTTATAAGCTAGTCAAGCTGTAGCTGAGGTGGCCCGTCACAAGCTTGCAAGATCGGCCAAAACCACCGCATGTAATTGGATACAATTATACCACCTAGCTAGATAGATATGCATGGAAATATGTCTTATGAGCTGTGCAGAGCTAACTACGAATACCTATTCAGTCATCGTCTGTATGCAGTGATATGTTACGAAGTATCCAGTAGAATATTGCTTTGAATCGTCTAATTCTCCTGAAGCGTGTATACTTGAGTTTCCTGCTTGCGTGCTTACGTGCTTACTTGATTGCAATACCTAACGTCAATGATACCTAAGTCAGTATCCATCTTACTTATCGCTGGATGACGGACACAGCGCTCCCTTCCTTGATCGGAAGGCCCTGGGAAATTACCGGGCAGAGAAGAGAAAGGTCACTATTGCGTGATAATGCTCTTCGCTTTGGCAATGCTAGGCGGCCATCGCGCATTTTAATTTCAAGTTGTTGTGCTCGGCTTTGGTGTCGATCTTCCTGCCAAGGTCGGGCGGGTTGGTTGCAACTTGCAAGCGGTTGCAATACTAGACCTTTTTAGCCGTTGCGAGAGCAGCTCTGGAGATGAGATCGGACAAGGGTCAGACCGTCTGCATGTTTGTTATATTGACTCGATTGCAACTGAGTTATATTCTGCCCATGTTCGGTCTTTAGTTAGTTGGTTGGTAATCAGTACTTGATACTACTCGTCAGGGCTCTAAACGCCTCCTGACCCACAATTTGACCGCTTCGCTATTGTAATCAGGGACTACCTAAATGTCCTGAAAAAGCTAAATGTCTTATTGTTTGTTACATCCAATTGTATGCGTTTTTACTTAAAATCGAAGTAGCACACTATATTGCAATTCCCCGTATTAATGCATAGGATATTTTCGACTATTATGTCATTACCAGGATTTTGCAAAACGTGAATTTTTGCGAGCGCAAAGGAAATTCCGGGTTTTTGTTGATTCCTGCAATTCCGTTAATTGCTGTTAATAATTATATGAGGGTTGCAATTGTAGGTGGTGGTTGTAGGTGGTGGTTGTAGGTGGTGGTTATAGGTGGTGGTTGTAGGTGGTGGTTGTAGGTGGTGGTTGTAGGTGGTGGTTGTAGGTGGTGGTTGTAGGTGGTGGTTGTAGGTGCTAGCTGTAGGTGCTAGCTGTATTGTTTTATTCGATAAATTGTTGAGATTATCTTGTATGCGAGGGGACTATATTGACGTATGCGGCAATATCGGCAGTTGGCAGAATACATAGAGTTGTACCTAGTTTGTATGGGGAATTATGTAGAAACCAGGACATTTAGCTTTTTCAGGACATTTAGGTAGTCCCTGATTACAATAGCGAAGCGGTCAAATTGTGGGTCAGGAGGCGTTTAGAGCCCTGACGAGTATATACTGTTTGGCAGCTAATGGGTTGCAATGCGCTGTAACTGAGCCACATACGTTCGGGTATGAAGCATAATGCGCCACAGGCGATTAAATATGTAGTGGCTATAGGTACTGGGTATGGAGAAGCCCAAGAGGCTCGAAAGGAGTCTAGACGCATCTTCCCATCATCTCAGATGCAACATTACTGCAGGGCCAGAGATCTGGAGCCGAAGACACCCTGGCACCCCCCCAGCCCGTCACCCGTAAGCGCGGAACCAGCCCAAGCAGCGCCCGGATCTCGGGGGGCCGATAGCCACTCCTAGCGGCTCATGCACCCCTTGATGCACCTTAAGCTCCTTAAACTTCCCACTAAAAGGCGGAGATACCCAGCATTTCCAGCACCTCCCAGCACCTCCAGCACCCCTCGGATGTTCCTAGCGCTAGTGGGCTTAGGCTTGCCCTACCGACAACCGAGAGGCGAAGCTGACGCCTTCGGTCGTGACTCGCACCTCGCACCTCGCACCTCGCACCTCGCAATGCCTGCCCAGCTGGTCCAGCAGAGCGGGACAAAAAATGTCTCGAACCCCCAGTGAATTCCGACAACCGTCCAGACACCAGAGCGTGAAAAACGCCATCAGGTCTAAGGATTGCGACATCGAATCCTGGGAGCGGTAGTGCGGGAAAACGAACGCCTTTTTATGTACGCAGGGTCGACAGTGGAAAATGCTGGAATCTTGAAGGTGTCATAGACTCATAGATGTGCTGTGTTGTACCGGTACTTGCCAGAGCTGCCCCTCCATCCCGAAAGAGCCTCTTAATGATCGCCGTCCGGCTTACAACATCATTACAGCAGAGGGCCATCACTTGATTTACACTTGATTTACTGTCTGTGTGTGCCTGTTTTATCCCACGATAGCTGCCAGCATAACGGCTTCCAAGGTTGACTGTAGTGCCTCGGGTCAAAATCGGCGAGCCATCACAATACATTATGGATAATACTATATAATATGGTTATGAATACGGAAAGCATGCCGGCAAATAAATCATAAAGAATACCTAGGTAGCTGGCCAATACCCATGCGCCGTCCTTTCAAATTCAGATGGCGCCTTGTCTAGTCCAAATTGGACCACGCGCCTGGGACAGCTCATTGACAGAGTGGCGCCCCGGATTCAGTCTGCGAAAGCGGAAGTTAAAGTGTGCCTGTATATGGCGTGCTTGGGGTGGACAATTTCGTTTCTGCTTGCGTGATCATAGACTCTATATACATAGGATGGACAGGACAGGGAGGCGATAACGCCGCAGATGGTGAGTGGCGTGTGTAACTCTCTGCGTTGTACCACCGATGATATAATCGCGGTGATATAATCGCTGCAGCTACGGTGCGGCATGAGTATTTTGACTTCAGTCCGACACCAAGGATCGAGCTAGGAGCTGACATCATCCCGAGCTTTTCCCAGTCTGACACGAACTACAATAGGTACAGATGTACATAAACGGTGATGACCAAGCCATAGCCTATAGGGCAGCGAGAACCTGTGTACAGTAGGTAGTTACCTACCTAGGCAGGCATGTACATAGGTAGGGTCACTAAGACAATGTGTCAGTGATGTTCGGAGAGAAGAATCCCGCCGTCCAGCACGCATCGAAGCACCGAAGGCGAGGCCTGTGACGTTGAATCAGGGGGAGAAAGAAACTCCTATGCTACAGTAGCAAATAATCATAGTATAGCTACCTGGAGTCAGAAACGGCTTCCTGATGCGTGCATGCATAGGCCTAAAAACGCCCTGAGCAAAGAGCTCGTAAAGTCGTTGGTACGGGCGAGACGGGGCTTGTCAGAGCTATCTAGCCGGGTCCCGCCGTCATGGACGGGTTCCATCCACATGTATTAGAAACATGGCCCTAGATCTCAAGACCCGAACCCAGATCAATAGCAGCGTCCAATCAGTGGCCGTCTGGCCGGATTGCGCCTACATTAGCGCGGATGTCGTGATCAACTTGCCAAATTTTCAAAGACGCCTTTCGACGCTTTCTGAGTTCAGGGACCCGCATTCAACCTGCTCCCTGTGCTCCCTAAGCAGACGCTCCCTCATATTGGAGCTGGATCGTGCAATAATTGCGCCCCGGCCCATCGGACGGGCTGGCTTCTCGGATAACGGGCTCTTGCTGAGAGGGCCTAGAGGGGCGTCGAGGGCGGAGATGGGGGTGGTTAGCTGTGTATCGCTTGTATTGCTGCCTGTATCGCTGCCAACAAGCGCTCCATCCGAGTTATGCCGTCAGTATTGAATTAGTAAACAGCCCCGTGTGTAGTCCATGTCCACATACAAGCCATGTAGGAGTAGCTGGGACACGAGCCCTCGGGAGTCAGTCCTTGCTATACATAATAGGAACAATGAGCACGCGATACTTGACTCTTCCCCACAACTCGAACTTTCTTCTCCAGGTCTTGTCTTTCTTAAACACGTTCTTGCCCCTTCCGATATCCTCCTACATCACTCTGCTTCCTGGTCATTGTCCATCCGTCGTCACACAAGCAACTTACCTCATACCCCTAAGACGACCCCGAGGCATCTCTTCTCAAATACAGAAGCATTCAACCCCACGTCGAGCGTGTCAGTCCCGTGCTCTTGACAACCGCACCGACTTCCGCCCCTACCTAAATATATCCCAGCCCACCATGACATCGCCCACACGCACAGAGGCATCGTCCTCGGCGAGCTCACCCGTCATCAAGGCTCTCGGCGACTCCAAAGTAGATGTGACCGACGTCGAGTCGGGCTATGGCTCGGCGACCTCGTCCGTAGCCAGCTCCATCAGCCAGCTGCCCCAGATCGTCCTCACCAAGCCGCACATCAAGCACCTCAACAAGCAGCTGGAGAAGATGGAGGCCGTCGACCGGCTCCGCTTCGTCAAGCTCCTCTTCCCCAACCTGTACCAGTCCACGGCCTTCGGCCTCACGGGCCTGGTCACCATCGACATGCTCTCGAAGCTCCAGCAGGAGGAGAGCGACACGACCCCCGTGGACATCATCTTCCTAGACACGCTATACCACTTCCAGGAGACGCTGGACCTGGTCGAGCAGGTGAAGGCCAAGTACCCCGGGGCGCGGATCCACACCTACCAGCCCGACGGGGCGAGCACGGCGGCCGAGTTCGAGGAGCGGTACGGGGCCCGGCTGTACGAGACGGCGCCGGAGCTGTACGACTGGATCGCCAAGGTGGAGCCGCAGCAGCGGTCGTACAGCGACCTGGGCGTGGCGGCGGTGCTGACGGGGCGGCGGCGGTCGCAGGGCGGCGAGCGCGACCAGATCCAGTTCCTCGAGGTCGACGAGGAGCGCGGCATCATCAAGGTCAACCCGCTGGTGGACTGGACCTTCGGCCGCGTCAAGGCCTACATCGACGAGCACCGGGTGCCCTACAACGCCCTGCTCGACCGCGGCTACAAGTCCGTCGGCGACTGGCACTCCACCAGCCCCGTCGGCGCCGCCGAGGACGAGCGCGCCGGCCGGTGGCGCGGCCAGGCCAAGACCGAGTGCGGCATCCACAACAAGAAGTCCCG